TGCTATAAACCGGGTTTCGATACCCGTGGTGGGCAGAGCACAGATAGCCCATTGTGCAGCTTTGTGCTTAATTACAAACAAACCTGGTCGACACAGAGCTCGAAATATAGGAATACTTTTATTGCCCTTCGTCATATAGTATACTGAACTTTTATAATTCATTGTTAAATGTAGACTATGAAAATTGTAAAGTTTGGACTGGTTAAATTACTTGAAATAATAAAAATAATAAAAGCATATGACTTGCCATCTTCCTTTGCTCTTTCAAGCTTATTGTTTGTATATTAAGTGAGAAAAGCGTTGATTCGCACTACAGCTTGTATAGGTAAAACTGGTCGTTAATTATCCGTTGCTGTGTTTGGAGTTTTCAATTATATTAGTTTGGAATTGACAGAAGACTCGTAGTTTTATGCAGACACTAAGAGGAGAAAAAATGCGAAAATTAACTGCAAATATACAAATAATAAACTTTTAACAACTCATTTTTACGAAGCTTATCTTAATCCAACAAAATGACTTGCTGAAGTTTTAGATCTTTATTTAACGTTATAATCTGGGTGCCTTTTCCTGGCCCTCCAGTGGCACAACAAAATGTCTGCGGACATACAATGCTAGAAACCGGGTTTCGATACCCGTGGGGGGAAGAGCACAGATAGCCCATTGTGTAGCTTTTTGCTTAACTTCAAAACTAGTCCCTTCCTGAAAATTTCGACTACCATACACAACTTTGCTACTAATATTTGTTGATGGATTTAAGCCTTTTTATATGCTGATTAAGAACCTGAATGATGGCAAAACATTTGACTTGGCGAAAGTGGTCAAAAAGAAAATTGTACGATATGAACACCAAAATGAAAGAAAAAAAGAAAATGGTTTTCATAATTCTGAAGGATAATTCATTCCAGAAGCGGAGGTTCGATATGAGGCGAGTAGAACAATCAATTTTATAGTTCCTAACGACTTGAGTTATCACAAAATTGCTACTGTCTTATGAAGTATATTCCGTGAAGATGGGTCGTAAGTAGTGGTCCTATTTCGTGAACCATTGGATCTTATTGTCCTGGTCCGGCCTGGCCAGGTGGTTAAGGCACTTGACTCGCAGTCTGAGGTTCGCGTGTTCGAATCCCCGTCCCACCGAACATGCTCACCCTTTCAGCCGTGGGGGCGTTATTATGTAACGGTCAATCTCACTATTCGTTGGTAAAAGAGTAGCCCAAGAGTGATGATAACTAGCTGCCTTCCCTCTAGTCTTTCACTGCTAAATTAGGGACAGCTAGTGCAGATAGTCCTCGTGTAGTTTTTCGCGAAATTCAAAACAAACTTATTTTCTCCTCCCCCCATTTTTATACTTTTTCCACGATTTACTATGGCCACTAGATGCTGTCGACTTTCTCTGGTTTCTGTAAGTTTTTTCATAATACAATTTCTTTCGTTTCAGCACTTTATCTTCATCTGTTACCAAACCAGTTTCTTTGTTTTCCATAGGTTCTGAATCCATGTCAGTGTGTTTTTCTTTTTGTTCTCCACTCTGAACACGATATCTTCATGCCTTAAAATTGTTCTTCGTACATTTTTATTCTAGTTTGCAAACACGTTTCTGGACCACCCAACAGTTGCATGAGAGATCGCAAGATATCTGCATTTTAAAATTTCTAGAGTCACCATGAGTCCACTTACGAAAGTCATTTTCCCGATTTGCCAACCAGTCAGGTTTTGTTTTCAAATCTAGTCGCATGCAATTGTTTATGGTCATCCAACCCATCAGAAAATGATCAGGTAGTTAAACTATTATATATCTCAAGTATTAAAAGTGTTGGTTCATGTCGTCCAACCCATCAGAAAATGATCAGGTAGTTAAACTGTTATATATCTCAAGTATTAGAAGTGTTGGTTCATCAGTTTTAACCCAAATCATAGCTGAATGATAGCTGTAAGCAATACACCATTTTAAAGTCCAGTTTGTGGAAAGACCAGTTTTCATACATACCATAACAAATTGTTTGATAATATCTACAATATCATCACGTTGTTTTTCTGTTATTCCGAAGTGTAGCATATATTGGCAAATTTACTGGGAAAGATATCTTTGACGACTACCAAAATTCTAACTTTATCCTTTCCAAAAGAGAAGGCCCCCAGTGGCACAGTATATCTGCGGACTTACAACGCTAGAAACCGGGTTTCGATACCAGTGGTGGGCAGAGCACATATAGCCCATTGTATAGCTTTATGCTTAACTACAAACAAAAATCCAAAAGAGAATCAATTTCGTTTCACATCCACTGACTACATGTATAAATGAGAATATATTTTGTTCATCTATGTTCAAACACTATAGATCACTATCAAATAATCTTTCTTCTTAACGTACAACTCTACTTTAATTGGTCGTCCACAAATCTTTCATACATGTGTACTGAAGTAACGAAGAGAATAGTGTCTGAAACTGCAATTATGATGTATGTGCAATGAGGTTTTAAGTTGTCTGTAATGTATACAAATAACCAGGTGTCTGCTTCCTCACGGATGATGACAAAGACACAATTGATGCTTCATTCTTAATACCGTTTTCAGCGATATCTGATACCATGATTCTACTCTTGAACCTCTCTGACATCTGTGATATACTAATTGCAGAAGATGATTTTTATTTCTGACTAATTTTCGAACAGAAAAGCAGTAGAATAGCTTTGCTATTCTTATTTTGAAGAATGTTTTCCCAGTTGCGTTCCAGCAGTTGTCCTGTCGACACTTTTATATTTTTTCTCTGCTTTGTGTCTTCTTTAGCGACAACCACTTTTCTGTAAGTTCACCTTTTTTGGTAAAGTCCATCATATCTGTCTGTAGCCAAATGGATTTCATCTTCTATGTCATCACTCAGAATTGATTACAGCACCCTTTCGGCTAACGTTTTCTTCCAATGACTTTTGTTGTCTGATGATACAAATAACACCCATAACAACTGTTGTTCTTTAAATGTCATCTACAATTTCCTGTGGCCATTTTTTTAACTTTACTTTTTTCTAAGCCATTGACAAGAGTAGCTTTATTTCCGCCTTTTAGTCGCACATAGTCCTCAGATTCAGAAATAGCTGGCGGATAGGACCTTTATCCAGATTCAGCTGTTTTGATTGTCTGTTTTTATCAAGCAAACTCTTTTCAACACAAATATTTATGTTGTAATTTGATTTCTCAAACTCTTTACCGATTATTTTATTTCTTGTTTTTCCTTTGCAAATCTTCAAGTATATGACAAATTTGTTTTGTCCAGTTTCTCTGATGACACATATTTCACAATTATTTTCTTACCAACTTCATTTACAATCAAAATATACACTGTGACTTCCTTGGATCCCTTTACGCCACTACTTATGTTCATAAGATTTTCAGTATCAGTAATTGTGAATGGATTTCTCAGTTCTTTTGACTTTAATTAATTTTATTATTCTGTCTCGCCGGGTATCGTTCAGGTGCAAAAATAAGGTATATGCAAGAATGAACATATGTTATTAACACAGTTACCCCCAGTGGCTCAGAGGTAAGTCAGCAGGCTTACGACGCTAAAACATCGGGTTTCGATACCCGTGGTGGGCAGAGCACAGACAGCCCATTGTGTAGCCTTGTGCTTGACAAAACAAAACACCACTAACAGCGGAGAAATCCAGTTGATGACCTAACAGATTGGTCATAGAAGTTTTTTGATTTGCCTGTCGTTTATGATTATTACTAATTATTATTAATTGTAATTTTTTATTGAAGTTGTTTAACAACTCTTCTGGTAAAAATCATTACGTAATTAAGTGGAAAGATATACCTGTAAAACCATGAAACACGAAATCATAAAATTGTTTACATTTAGCATATTTGAATCAATGATTCATAAATTCACCTTTTTTAACTCAAGAAACAATGTCAACACATAATATGTTTCTACGCGCAGGACAAGTAGAAGAACATAACACAGTTTTATTTAAACGTGAAAATATATGATTTAAGAAAACTTTGCTGAAGTAAATAATGTCGTATTTTGGCGGTCGTTTTGGATTTACCATATTTTGAGAACTTTTGCTGTAGCAAGTCATTTTCCATTATTCATTTTCTTATTCGGGAAATTCAAAAGGACTAAAAACCACCAACAAAATTTTTGTATCAAAGTGGAGAAGTGGTGAAGAGTCAACCCTTATTTTTACGAAATTACCAATGACTCCCAGCTTATTAGAACAAATGACACTTTTCAAAATATTCAATACTCCAACTTGCCTCACCGTGATCACTTAACGTAGAAAGACTTTAAATTCATTAAGTATTATCTTGGTTAATCACTAACTTGTACTAATTCAGATACGTGCCGGGTGTAGTTCTAGTAGTTACTATGACCGAACTGTGAACCTGAAGGTTTGTTGGTTAACAAAAATTGTCGTAATACGCACTCCATACTTTTGGACCACACGTGCATTATGAGTGTTTTCAAAAGGTGGACCTTGGGTTATAGGAGTTCTACAATTTTGTATCAAGACTTCTTGAAACTACGTGTTTTCCTGACATCGTGAATGCGTTATAAGAGTGATGGTCACATCCTACTATTCGATTATAGTAGCCCAAGAGTTGGCAGTGGGTAACGTTGATTAGCTGCCTTTCGTATAATCTAATTTATGTTTACGTCATTTAAATACTGCAACAAACGCCTATCGGCCAGTCTTGTAATACTTAATTATAAAGAATAATCACGAATATTTATTGTAATAATCAATACATGTTAGAACGATAAAAAAAGAGTGGTTCGAATAAAATGTCGCTATACAACACTTTATAACTGTACTCACAGCAGTATTGTGTTTTGCTAACAAAAATGACGACATAATGCGGTCGGATGCCTTATATAGGTGGCGTATTATAATTAAAGTAGTATAGAATTCGACATTTACCTTAACCAAACAAACAGGAAAATTTGAATAATGAATGAATATATAATATAGCTAATATTTTATTCGTCATTTCAGACTCATTCGTCAACAGCCAGGAGTGGACTTTAAGTCGTTCTGTACCTGATTTGAGGCTGGTAGGACAATATCTATTCTTATATTTTAAATTTTATTCGAAGTGTATACATCTCTTGAGAATAATTAGTAGTATAATTACTCCTGTAAGACATTATATTTTTGTCGTGCATTTTTTAATGCTTACTTTATCATTAAACGGCATAGGTTTGGGATATTCATTTATTTAAAAACTGTAGTTTCACATACCCGTTATTTGGGCACATATCGGACTTGTGGCAGAGTCCAGAGCTGGTTATTAATCTGAACTATTGGAATGACTTCGTTTTTCATTTTTTACTTTCATAGTTTTATTTTATAATTCATCTTGTGGTATATGGTTGGAGTTCCCAGTTTGCCCCTTCTGAAGAAAAGTCTACCTTTCGAAAGAGCTTGTGTACGAGGGTTTTGTATTTTTGTCTTTAATTGATTTTTTGAACCAATATACTTTCCTAATATCATGAATAGGGTTGAAGGTTATAGTTTTATTTATATTTTGTTAATAGTTATATTGCTGTGATTAAAAGTTAATGTTAAATACTTCTCAGAATAAAGTGTTAGAAAGTTTTAGCCAACTATGTATCTCAAACTGTATTATTATTAGAGTATATATCATTCTGGCTATTCTTGTTTTTTAGTCGTTCGTTACGTTCATTTTACAAATCCGTGTTTTTATCATTGGTTGTGTCGGTTGTTCACACAACCCGTGATATTTCCATACATCCATAATAGGTTTTTAATTTGAATAATAATTTTTCTCTCGTCGTTTAGAATTAGTGAGTTGTTACCTTTTTTAGCTTTAATCATTAGTTGGGCTTAGTAAGGATGTATCTGTTCTACGTTCAACATAGGGCATTGTGGGAAGTTTAAACAGCGGGAAATCAGCTTTAGTCCATCGATATCTGACAGGATCCTACATGCAGGAGGAGTCACCAGAAGGTATGCCACATTTTATGTCCTGACCATTAGAAACAATGGAATACAGAATATATGCATATCATCATTATATGAACTACTGATGTGTAGTTCTCTTTTAAAAAGAATATTAAGCTGGAAACATTTACCTAAATTCCTACAGTCTTTGTCATTCAACTCTGTACCTAAATTCAGTTACCATTTTGCTTTTCAAAATGATGCTTCAGCCTGGAGCTTAGACACCGTACCTTCCAAAAGCACCGCCTGATAATGGCATTTTAAAGTTAATCATATTGGTCTGGTATAAGAACCTAAGTCGTTGTTAAAATTACTTATACGTGTTCAAATATCAAACTATGATATTTTAGACTCAAGATGTTACTAAATAGGTGGTCGCTTCAAGAAGGAGGTGCTGATCGACGGACAAAGCCATTTGTTGTTAATTAGAGACGAAGGTGGACCTCCGGAGCTTCAAGTAAGTTTCTTATTCCTTTTGTTAAGATTTTGTCTGCTATTTCCAAATTAATTATACGGTAACTGGTGAATAAATATCTGAAACCTTTGGAGGAGAGTGTACATGATGACAATAAGAGTCTGATTAAAAAACATATTCTAGTCTGATCACCGGAAATACATTCTATATATATAAACACAAAGAGGTTCAGTATGTTATATTAAAACGATTTTGGAACCTAACATATCATCATACTCGATGTCGTCATGCTGGCCATCCTCTGTTGGACGACCGTGCACCTTGATAATAGTCCTACAGCATATTTTCCATTGCAGAAGGTTTTTTGTGCGAATGTCATGTTCAAACCAGACTATTACACCCTGCATAGTTTCAATAGGTCATCTAGTGTACAACAGTTTCAACAGTTCAATCGCACAGAAACTTGTAGATGCTGTGTCTGGCGACTTGACCGGTTTATCTTCGTATAGAATTGTATAAATACACGTTTAATATTTTAGCTGCTTGAAGTATACGATAGTTGAACGGCAGGTATAACTGGAAGCCTTATCATGGTTAACCCGTACCCTATTCGCCTATTTCCTTCTTGGTTTTGTTACGTACTTTACTGTGCTTTTGCCACTGATCTTTATGTTTGTGGATTCTCACCTCTTACATGACGTCACACTTTGCTTACCATGGTTGTGTTAGGTACGTCTTGTTGCAGGTCTCTTTCTAAATGTTCCTAGCGTACCGAGTTAATCCATATTCACTTGTTTTTCAATGTAATTAAGTACATAGAATACCCCCGTCTTGGAAATTCTTAATACCGAATCTGAACACATGCTTATGGTCTTTGTGTATGAATATTTTGCGCCGGAAAGAACTGTTACTTTCCCTTCCCATAGACGATCAGTTTTCGGTAACGTCACCTATAAAATGTTAAAAATATAATTCTCATACGTTTGACTCCACCGCTTCTTTCGTTTTGGGTGTGGTTATCATATTCACAATATTCATTAGTAGTATATTAATTTTGAAATGCAATATAGATACAAACCCACACACACAAAGACAAATTTTAAAGAATGTCGTCATTATAGTTTGTACATTACGTGAATTCCCAGAGTATTTTTCTTCGTAATCAAACATTCAATATGTATGTTCCACGAGGAAACAGACGAAGTTATAGAACTCGTATTGAGTTACACATTATATGTTACTTGTATTGATTGGCCGATTGCGGATTATTCATATCAAGTGGCGTCTATTTGTGACGTACGTACAGCAGATGGCCGACACGGGAAGTAGGTCGTAACGGCTGCCATGGAAACAGCATAAAAACACTGTCTTTGTAATTATTTCATTGAAAAGTACACGTCAGTTACTTTACAGAATTATGCATTGTTCGATCTTGACATGCATATTTGTGGCGCATATGATATCTAAACACACATATAACTATTACATTTAAGTGTTAGTGTATGTACAGAATAATTACCTCATCCAATTGCCCTCGAATCTTTTTAATCTCGGGTGAAAAAAGTTTTTTTTTAAACATGGGAATAAAACGTAGCAACTGGTATTATTTTTGTCGTGCCTGAGTTTCATGACCTGCCGTGAACGTCATTTGTGGCCGTAAGTGACTTAGAGGTTGCATAATTGGATAGGGAACGAAAGGTCCAAGGTTCGAGCCGTGGTATTCACACGGACGTACTCCACACTTTCAACCGTGAGAACATTATAATTGTGGCCACCAATCATGTTCTTCTGTTAAGAGTAGCCGCATGGACGGCAGTGCTGCCGATCGGTTGACATCTCGTACGGCAGCAGTTTTAAAGAAGGGATAACTGTGCCAGAATCTTGAGGTTTCTGAACTGGCCGTTTAACCCATGATCGCATAAGGGCTATTCAGAATGAAAATATAGTATTACTCGAATGATGATGGATTGATATTTAATTATTTTTTTCGCTGCTGCTGGGCCTGGCATGGCCAGGTGGTTAGGGCGTTCGACTCGCAATCTGCGGGTCGCGGGTTCGAATCCCCGTCCCACCAAACATGCTCGCCCCTTTCACCCGTGGGGGCGTTATAATGTAACGGTCAATCCTACTATTCATTGTTGAAAGAGTAGCCCAAGAGTTGGCGGTGGGCGGTGATGACTAGCTGCCTTCCCTCTAGTCTTTCACTACTAAATTATGAATGGCTAGCGTAGATAGCCCTCGTGTAGCTTTGCGCGAAATTCAAAACAAACAAATAAACAATCCCTGTTACTTGGTGAAATGAGTCAATGATAATGTTCCCTACGACCGATAGAAGTTAGTTGAAAAACTTATTCACTATTCTGGGTAGAAACATTGAGTGGATTTTTAGAAAATACTGACCTTACCAACACATCGTAATGTTTCATTTGACCTTCATACTCCGAGAAGCTACCATACTTCGTTAACCTTTGATCTTACGATTCACACACGTGGTATGTTAATATTACAAGGAAATGCAAGATGAAAGCCGTGGATCGAAAATTGATCCTTCAGAAGAGAAAACGGCGGTATTATTGTTTTAATTCATGAACTGTATTTAACCAAAAAAATATTTCGCTCAAACAATCATGAAACAAGTGTAATATAAAAACAGATAAAATAAGAAACATATTTCATCATATATATATATACCTACTTTTGTAAACTGCGCTGTTTAATTGCCATAAACAAACTAGTAATATAAATATATTTGTTAGAATCTTCTAGAATTTTAACCTACCTAATATTGATGACAAACGTATAAAGATATTTATACATTTGTAAAAACCACTTAAGCAAATAAGGACTTAAGAATACGTAAAATATTTAACAGTTAAATTTAAAATATGGTATTTTTGTAAAAAAAATCAAAACCATTGAACGAAGTTAAAGAGAAACTGATTTCAACTTACTTTTGGCCTGGTGGGGCATAGTGGTTAAAGTGCCTGACTGAAATCCCAAGGAATCCCAAGTTCCCGTCCCTTTACGGCAAAATCGTGTGTGTCCAAATCTCACTATTCGAAGTTGGCGGTTGGTACCGATGAATAGCTGCCTTTCCTCTAATCTGTCAATTGAAAATTATGGATGGCTAGCGTAAATAGCTCTTGTGTGACTTTGCCCGAACATCGGACGCAAACAAGCATTTTAATTTCTTGTTGTTTAAGACTACCAATGATATTCTAAACGTTTGGGCTAATGGAAAAAAAAATATTAATAAATTCTATTTGAAGTATGTAAATGTGTATAGTTAAAGTTTTCGTTGCCTGTAATGATATTAGATATTTTCTAGATTTGCTCACTATTACCTTCCATTGTCATAACGTGATGGAGAGGTAAAAACATTATTTTGTATAAATATTTTTAATTCAAGTTTATTCTTAGTTGTTGTTTTTTTTTGTTTTTTTTATGATAACAGTTTAGTTGCTGGGTGGACGCTGTCATCTTCGTCTTCAGTTTGGAGAACGAGCCATCTTTCAATGCTGTCGTCAGTTACTATACCAAGTTGTCCCACTATCGCAGCTCTCAAGAAATTCCATTGATCCTTGTCGGTACACAAGGTAAGGATTGTTGTGGACAGGGATGGGTCGTTTATTTGTTATATAGTAACGACATTTTGAGTATGGATCATTTATTGTGGTTCAGAGATGTAGGTTATATACTGTTGTAAGGTATATTTTCAATGTTTTAATTCAAATGTTAGATTGGGGCATTTGACGTTAAGGTAAGTAAGTCCAAGAATACGTAGAAATATTCGGGAATATCAGTGATCGCGAGATATTGCGAAGTGTCTAGAAACAAGTCTACTTTATAAATATGAAAGTCAGTGAAGCATTGAAGCAGTTTGTTTGTTTTTTAACTGGTAGTGTTCCAGACATTCAGTAAAGTTTTTGGATTAAATTTATATTTCAGTTGATCGATCGACCGTGAAATTGTACTAGTAAATTTATATGTACGTTAGTTGTAGTACCATTAGTGAGTAAACCTCTGTTGAATTTGAAAGTGAAAATGTTTTTTTCTGAACTATGGCCTACAACTGTGTACAAGGGATAGTAGCTTGTAGGAAAGAATAAACCAATGTGCTGTCTTTAAGTGGACTGTGTTTGGTTTTATTTTCACCAAATAATTTCAAAAGAACCAGCCCAAAAAAAGAACAATCTATCTATTATCTACATACTCAGTGATTATTAACAGATATTGTCCAGGTATAAACAATCTACATACTCAGTGATTATTAACAGATATTGTCCAGGTATAAACAATCTACATACTCAGTGATTATTAACAGATATTGTCCAGATATAAACTCTGTACTCAGTGATTTTTACGGATGTTGCCTTGTTATAAATTCGATACGTTGTGAGATCTCGGGCAATACCCCGATATAAAAGCAGCTTTAATTAAAATTGATACTACGCGTGGTTTTTGATATCATTATTAACCGCTTCATTATTGCGATGCTCAGTAATATACCATTTAGGTTCTGTTTTCAAAGTTTTGTTCATGATTTATCTTATTATTGCAACTTATTATTTTAAAAGAGAGAACAGTGTTGTAAGATTAACAACTTAAAATGTTGCAATTATAATTGTTTTTTCACTGTATTTACGCTTTCTGATTCTGCTTTCGTCTTACTGTAAGTCAAAGATAACAACTTTAGACTTCCCAATCTAAAGATAATCAGATAATATAACATGCTTTTTGTAAAAAAGCTTTATCCATATGAGTTGTAAGATAAGAGGGTGTTTATCAAGAGATATCATGACAGGTGGTATTCGCCTTTATTGGTAAAATTCACCTACAGGCTGTTTTCAGCTCTGATAAAGTTTAAAGTACGATAGTAGCTGTGATCAGCTTTTCATGGAAGATTTGAATATTTAGATTGAAAATGTCAACTCTGTAAAGACACCAAGAAGATGTAGATACGAAAGATCTTATCGTTGATTTGTGTTTGTTAATTGAAAGTTAGTTTGTCTGTGTGTAGAGTATTTGACAATATTACCGAAATACCAGCGTTAAGCACACGTTTTATATTTGTCATAACTTCCGTAAAAGTTGATATATATATACTGTCGTTTACAAGTTCGGTTATGTTCTGTTGATAAACCTGGAGAGTGACCACATATAAAAACTCCCAAAAGAACCCCACGTTGCAGAATAGTTAGACGTTAAAAACTTCCAAAACACAGCTAGTTTAAGTAGTGTGCAACGTTAAAACATTGGAAATTCAACGTGTTGCTGAGCAAGTGGTTAGGTATATAGTGTAATGTTATTTTAAACACTAATTTTTGAAATAGCTTGCCTATGAAACTTTGAAGGACCAAACATTACTGTTCAGTGCCATGGGCAACTGTATGGGTGTACTTGCAGGTGAGTAACGTTTTATGTAACTGAGGAAAATAGATATCATTTCTTTATGTAACACTTTTATATTTAAACGATCTTCACTACTGACTATAACCAAACTTCTATGTAAAGTTTAGTTATCAAAAATATTTTTTTCTTCTTATTCTTATATTTCTGTCGATAGGTAGCGTTCTACGTAGGAGATACTACAGAATAATTACAACATGATTCAAAACTTATAATTCGTCTTTCATGTTTAAAGTTTAACGCTTGTCTAACGCATCTGTGATGTGGTGTGTGAAATGAAACAGTATATACGGAATATGAAACAAGTTCTTGGAGGGTATCGTGTGTATTGCAACTTGGGTTTCATTCATTTAACACACCTTTCCTAATTTGAGTACTGTGTTAGAAGTGGTGAAGTGTTGTTTGGACATGTGCTGTGTGTGTTACGGAAAGGTTGGACCCAATATATATAAGCGGCTAGCTATAACTGACCCTTCCTTAAAGTTCATGAGACGACGTGACACATCAACACTATTTAGACTGCAATTAAAGAAAAGTTTGGGGTTTTCTTCTTCGTCTGGTTTGTTAGATGTTTGTTCTCTGTTTGCAACAGATTAATCTGAGTTATAAGAACAAACAAAAATAGTTTGTCGTGTCGACACCACGAATGTTAAAGAAGCCAGAGTGTATGTAAGAGAAACTGGTGCTAGAAGCTTGTTTGTAAAATGGAAATTGACAATGCCGCTTCTTTAGCTTTTGATTTGAACATTCTTATTTCTTGAAAGTAACCTCTAAATAATAATTTCATCGGTACTCTTAGTCAAGCTTGAATCGTATTTTCAAGTGTATTTCTGTAATATGTACACCCCAAACCTTCTAATCGTTCTGTCTTATAAACTCTTTGTATTTGGTTTACCATAATCTTCCAGAGCATCTATAGCCTCAAGAACTAGCCTGGCTGTAACTAAGTTACAGACAACTAATGAATTAAGAAACACAGAAACCAAATTTATTGTTCTTCTTTGATTCGCTGTTGAACATCGGGATCGACCTTTATTAAAACGGCACTTCCATTACAGGCCTTAGAATGTATCGTAATTAGTTCCCATTTTCCTTATGCTGTTGTATAGTCACACACAAGTCAATCTTCAAAGAAGGCACATCGTGTAGGTGTATTTAAGCACTGTTTAATAAGGATCCGAAGATTTAGCTATTTCAAGAGTTCACACGAAGCTCAGTTTACCAGTTCGACATAATACAAATCAGAAAATGTTAACTTTATTTTAACAAAAAAAGTACATTTTCTCTTCAGGCTGAAACTTTACGCACTAAGCATGTGCACTGGCATTAAAATATGTTCAGAACACGTTATTATAAGTAGTTTGATTAGCCTCTTCCACAAGTGGCCTTGTGGACGCGATGTACCGAATTACTAATGGTGCTATTTATTGTAATATATTTTAATCCTCTATAGTTTTAAAAAAAATGAAGCTAAACCTTCTGGAGTTCAGAATGTTTAATTCCAGTGTGATTTGTGATATTTATTGTGACAGCAGTTTGTTTTACGTAGAAAGATTTTGGAATTTTATCATTACATTTTTATGAATGAAACACTTGTTTTACATTTGAGTGTTTCATCTTTTTACCTGTGAGAGTTTTCTTTAAGCTAAGTAACATAGGATTTTATTTACCATGTACAAACCGATTAAAAGCTTAAGCTAGACATTGAAACTGTTTTAAGTTAACTGTTAAGTGAAACATTGAAACTGTTGTTAATTAACTGTTAAGTGAAACATTGAAACTGTTGTTAATTAACTGTTAAACTAGACATTAAAACTGTCGCAAGTGAAAGATAAACTAAACATTAAAAGTGTTCTTAGTTAATTGTTAAGCTAGACATTAAAACTTTTTAGTTAACTGTTAAATTAGATTTTGAAACTGTCGCAAGTGAAAGATAAACTAAACATTAAAAGTGTTCTTAGTTAATTGTTAAGCTAGACATTAAAACTTTTAGTTAACTGTTAAATTAGATTTTGAAACTGTCGTTAGTTAGCTTTTAAGCTAGACATTAAAACTTTTTAGTTAACTGTTAAATTATATTTTGAAACTGTCGTTAGTTAGCTGTTAAGCTAGACGTTAAAACTTTTTAGCTAACTGTTAAATTATATTTTGAAACTGTCGTTAATTAGCTGTTAAGCTAGACGTTAAAACTTTTTAGTTAACTGTTAAGGTAGATGTTGTATGTTAGCTGTTAAGCTAAATGTTGAAACTGTTGTTGTTAGCTAATGATTAACTTACATTGAAATTATTGTGAGTGGAATGTTTAATGAAAACTGAATGTGTTGCTAACGAAAGTTTTTTTTGTTTGGTTAATTAATTTTTGACCAAAATACAGGCAACATGTTATGTTATCACATCACTATTTTTATCAACAAATAGGAAGCCTCACAGTAAAGTAGAACATGACGTGGATGTTGCATCACAACCTTTATCTTGTGTAACCATCACTAAGTAACAATATTATGATAATAATAGATGTTTATATTGTGTAAATAAGCTTTGTCAAACAATACTGATTACAATCAAACACCATGTTTGGTGCTTGTATTTCACCATATGACTGTGAATAATTTTATGAAATTTTGACATTACAGTTAAAATCCAGTTACGTTGCTATTAAAGTTTATTACTCATGGTGTTTCTGTTATCTTGCATACATCACATAGGAAATGTTTAATGCATGTGTTTGTTAACCTGCTCATCTTGGGCAGGTTAGTTTGTCTGTTGAAATGCTCTAGTTTCATAAGATCCCGTACCTACTTGTGATTTACTGGGTCATATTGACTTAACATCCTTTTAAATAAATAGGTTTTGTTTGTTGATTTTAATTTGAAATTGTACCATAACCTACCTAGAAGCTGCTTATTTTCCTGATGACCCAACTGTTCCTTTAATTAACATATTATTTTACTTTTGTTTTTAGCTTAGAAAATTTTTGACACTATTTAATGTTTAAAGTTAACCTGTTTGTAACCAAAAATATCTGACGTAATTATCGAGTGTTATGTGTATACTATATCCCACTGAAATAAAAAAAAGTGTGTGGGGGCAACTGCTCCCCCTGGCCTATGTATAACTTGTTATATGAAACTGATTGAATAGATAATGTGAACATGCAATACTCTAGAATTATCACTCATGTCATGAACATTTTTAACAGATACATACACATGAGAAGTTAGTTCAGAGTGTGGAACTCTTCCACACACATTTGATATTCCCATAAATAACTTAAACCTGGAACCTTTTCATACATATTTTGTTAACTATTCTCCCCCCCCCCCCACTTTTGTTTGGTAGTGGTTTGACAGGATACTCGTAAGTTGTTATTACTTGAATTTAAACATTCATTTTTATTTATTGTTAACATTTATACAATATTTCAGATGCTATTAGTGAAAATAACCCCCGAATAATTGATGATTCTCGAGCTCGGAAACTAGCAAGTGACCTCAAACGATGTTCTTATTATGAAACATGTGCTACCTATGGTTTAAATGTTGAGAGGGTTTTTCAAGATGGTAAGTTCAAAGTTTTAACATCTCAGCAAAAAGGTGTTAAATGATACTTGTATGACTATTTCAAGTGTTCACACATGATGTAGCCTCTTTGACTGAAGAGGTTATTTAAAAAAAAATCTAGTTGTTTTATTGAAAAAACTTGTATTCAAATGTTCATAAAATCTTTATTTGAAATTAATCTTAGTTTATAGATTTTAGTATGAGAAAAGAGCTTGAGATTCAACCAAAATTGGATTAAGTATTTCTTTGTTAATTTGCAGCATGTCAAAAAATTGTTCAACACAAACTGGCCACACTAACTCCAAACAACTCAAGGCCAAGTACACCAATTGGTCACCCAACAAGATGTAACTATTTCCTTTCAAGTGCTGTCTCACAGACCACCAGTAAGGCTAACAATGGGTATATATTACCACATCCTGCTTCCACTACCATGGTTTCCACTTCTGTAGGCTCAAGTGTATCAAGTTCTGTAGTCACATCAGGAACAACAGTGGGCACCTCTCCCAGTCACTGTAGCCATCCTACTGTTACCTACACACAAAGTCATCCAGTTTTCAAGGTCAGCAAGGTAAGAACTGGTAAAAAATAATCACAGTACTTTAACCTACACACATAGCTGTGGAGTTTTTAAGGCCTGAAAGATTACACCAGAAAAAAGGTAACAGTAGTCACTTTACATACAGTTTAAGATACATAAATATATAACTGCCCTAGCCACCAACATGAGATTTAGAGGCCATGACCCTATAATTCCAACCCTGAGCAGTGGGATCTCGGCTACCTGGTTGGCCAATGTTGATGACAGATCACGTCAAATTCCACCCAAAGTGTATGATTTAGGTTCCAGGTGAAGGATATACTTGTTCTGTATGTAGTGCAGTTCCTCTACTAGAGTGCTAATCTTTTATTGGCACAACCACGATCTATGCAGATGCATTCTGTATGGATAATGCCCTCACCAGCCCCTCTACTTTATCAATGTGGGATTTTAGCTGTAGTGTGAGAGGAAGTGAGTATGTTGGGGAAGTTAACATTTTCTCAAATTGAAAACGTATTTCCAATAATACTTGCCTCCTTTCAACCTTCCCACTAAGAGTCAGTGTTAGAGACTGTGAATTGCATCAGTCTCAAAAAAGTGACAATATTATCTGAAGGAGTAATATTGACTAATAGTTGTAGTATGAGTGGAGGTAACTTGTATATATATATATATATATATATATATATATATATACTAATTACTTACGTAACGAAAGGTAAGTTAAAGTTAAACGTACTTCGTTGGTTTAGGTTATTACTATACGTACCGTTAATTAATTACTTACCTACTT